TGTTTGAAATTATGAACATTGCTCAACATCACGAAAATTAAACCTTATTTTCAATAAGCAATCCTGAAAAATATTTGGGGGTGCTTAACTTTTTTCCAGGTGTATATATAAGCCATTTATTACAACAACAATTGTTATGGTGTAAATGCCTTTTTCAAGCTGGCAAAATATGATTATAATTCATTATACCTGCCATAAGGCATAAGCATTAGGCCTATTATATTTTTTAACACTAAAGTCATTATCTAGTCCCTTAGGGGTGATCTCTAGATTGCACAAGACGTCATCAGAAATGGATATGACGAACACAATGTGGTAAGAACACTATTATTATGCAAATTTTAACTAAGATGTTGTTTCTTCACACAGGTGCACAACATGATAGATAAAAAAATATTTCAGACCTTGTGAAGTTTAACATTTCTTTTGTATCTTATTACAGCTTAGACCCAGATGGTGATCCTCTTGGTGTGATCTTGATTATTGACTTCTATGCCATACGTTCAGAACAGTATATTTTCCTTGTTAAAATGTATCATGAATGGAATAGTGTACGAAATCTTTCTCAACTCCCAAACTTTTCTTTCTCTGTATCGTTAGCTATGTTTTTACAGGCTGTACAGGAAGGTGGTTCAACCAAAGAGGCAGATGAATTGGTAAGTCTTATCCTCTGTACAACAGCAACAGTTGCTTCATGTGCTATTTTATTACCAATGTAATAAATGTGTTCCATTTGATTAGATCTGTAAAATCATACAATTTTATATTGTTTTAACTATGAACACTTATAGTGGGTGTGAGAATATATATAAGTTAATAATACTTATGTAAAAAAAAATAACTCATATTAAAGTGTAGTCTGATATTTACCAACTTGGGTCATCAGTTAAAACTCAAACAGAAAGTATACAAATGAAAATATCAAAATAAAAATTATAATATTGCTTATAATCTACCACCTATATACATTACGAATGCATATCGAAATGGATACAACTGCATATGAGAGGAGGAGGTAAGCCATTTAGTATACATGCACACTTTAACCATTAGGCTCATGTTTTTCTTAATACATTTTATATAAATATCAGACTATCAAGAAAAAATACACTGGTTCTGAAATGTGAAATGAAACTTTTGCATACATTACTTATGGATTTGACCTAAATAACAAAAAAAGGCACAAAAACCGAATAAAAGTAAAACAGAATCAGAAGAAAATGTATACCATAGTCATTGGAGTCTGAAGTAATCAGACTTGTTGAATTTATCTGTTTATGATAACATAGAAACAACCTGGTTAACATTGTTTCAGTGATAAATATTTTATTGTTTGATGACCAGAGCTGTATTTTTTAATATTCTTAACATGTATAGGGATAGTTGCATAGGAAAAGTGCTGATAGACTTCCTTCATGCATTAAAATTTCATGTTACTATAGCAATATCTTTGTCATCAGGTTTAATAATTATGTCACTGTCATGTCTAGGGTTTTTAATCAGAAGTTAATATTAATTCCATTAAATTTCAGATAATTACAAAACTTTCAGTTAGAATTTAGCAAAGACTATTACATAAATTTTAAGTGATTTTAATAAAATTTTGTAATTGTAGTTTTCTGGAGGGTATAAGTAGATTTATCAACCATAAAATGTGGGATTATGAATATAAGTAACAAATAACATTAATTAAAGGATTTTATGTCCGACTTTTCAAAGTGATGTAAAGAAATAAATCTGTATTTCTGAATGAACTATTGTATGGCCAAAACTTCACATAATCATTATGTTTCCATATATTCACTAACAACACATAATAATTTGTTACACATTTCAGTTTTAATCTTTACTTTCAGCTTCAAAAAGCTTTGATCATGTTTCCTTCTGTGTTGATTATCCTATTGGACAAGTGTAGTGTCCAGCCTGATGAAAAAGTAGCTAAACATCCTTTCTTTAGTTCACAAGCTGACCAAAGGTAGGTTATTGTAAAATTACATTCCTTTAGCCTTCAGAGGTAAGATTACTTAATATAAAATCAATATATTTCTTTGAATCACAAGATAGCCAACAATAATGTTACAGTATGTAAATTCCACAATTTTTTTAGGTCACAAATTGAACAACAGTAAAAATTACAGTGTTAAATTCTCAACTTCCATTAAGCTAATTAACAATAAGGTTACAAAGTGATAAATTGACAACTTTCTTTAAGCTTAAAGCTGATCACTAGTAAGGTTACATTGTGTATAAAAGTACCATATTTTATATTCCCTTTTAGCTTAGCAATATAAATTTTGTAGTTTTAACAAAACTTTTGATGGGAGGGTTAATAAAATCTTAGATGAGGCAAATAATTCAGTTATTGAACTTCAAGAGCATTTTGTTTGATAATGATATTAAATTATTTTTCCAAATGTTTTATAAACATTTCTTGCTGTATAATGTAAATAGTAAATTAAAAACATGAAATATAATGGTTGTAAAAGATAAATTATAATTAAAAAAGGAAAATGACCAAAATAGATAAAATTTTTCATTTAACCCTTTCCAGACAGGTCACTAGTCAAAGGCCATGTCATCACATTTGTTGACTTGCATTCAAAATTTTATTGAACTACTATTTTATGAATTTATGTCAATGGTATCAAACTGTAGATTATAATTGAAATTTTAGTATTATACATTATTAAGTTTCTTAATTTAAAAGTAAATACTTAAAAAAACTTAAACATCTATTTTTGTGTGTCACGTGGTATGTTGAATGTAGCACTGGTTCAAATTAGATGTTTGTGATGTCAAAATACTAAGTCTATAGGTTTGTATGAATTAGGAACTCAAATTACCGATATTGACAAGCTAGAGTATAAAATAAGAACCCCCTATCATTTCTATTTGCTGAGATATCACTCATGTACTGAATCAAACCTCACCTCTTTCCATTTTTGGAAATGCTCCCTTATATACACTCACTTGTGTATATGACATGTGAATAACCAATCAAAAGCTCAGAATGACCCCTAGTGGCTGTCTCAGCCATTTTCAAGTGTTAGATGCCATTTAGTTCTTTGAAAACAAGATATCAAGGAGTTAGGTTGTGTCTTTAGTCTGCTCGAAATTTCATACTTGTTTAGATCGAAATACAGCTTAGTTACTAAGCTTGATAAATTATAGTGGAATTCTTTGGTATTGATATAGTAATTTATGATTTTTTGGTCATTCAACTGTATATATAAAATCTAAAAAATATTATTTTGTTTCATATCCTACACGTGCAGCATTTTAAAAGGCTTAGTGACCTACATCAAGCAGCAACTGAGTACAAAGGTCATAACTAGAAGAGATAATTGTGTGCTTTACTTCTTTATTTACTGTTTTATGTTTTAAGAAAAATAACTTTAAGAACTTATTTCTAAACAGTAATATTCTATATATTTATAAGAATGGAAATGTGACTGTATTTTACAAAATACCAGTCTTCTAAAACACAGCTAAGACAGGTCACTTTGTAAAGACTAAAGGTCAGTTTTATATTATTGGATATGGTAACATGAGTGCATGTGTACCATGTCATTTTAACTTTGGTATTGTCAGCCAGGCACGGCTGAAAGTCAATATAATAAAAATAATAAATATATATAAATGTATAATGTTATTAGATTTATGCTATTTAGACTAAACATTTATGTTTTTGTATTATAATTTGTGTTCATTCTAGAACGAAAAAGGGATCATTCTTATTTATTTCCTAATTTTCTATGGTGGTTATGAGATTGATCAAATCGATCGAACCCATAAAGAGATTTGTTAGTGAAAATAACAGACAAAATATAAAGTTTTTCTTAAGAAATGTTTGATAACTATCTGAACATTATAAAGTTTTTGCATGTGAAATTTGAAAATTTTCTGATGTGTAAAAGTATTTTTAATCTTAAAATGATAATTACTTTGCATGTTGCCTATCCAAAGAAAAAAAGGCACGAGAAAAACATTGCTTAACAAACCTTAAGACTTGATAAAAAATTTGATATTTTGTGTATGAAAGCATTGTAATGTTTACTGATAATATGCCAAATTTTGTTAATATATATGCTTACTAATTTAAAAGTTATAGCATAAAAACTATAGCAAGCACAAAATGGTTACGAAGTCGGTCCCAGGGACCGAGTCCTTGCTGAAAGAGTTAAAAGTGATGAATTGTAAAAGCATGAAGCAAATGAAATTAAATAATCAACAATGATATATTGATCATAGCACTGTTGCAATATCATGATTGCAAAAATAACTGATGACTTTTATAAGTGCTAACTTGTGTTTTTGTTCCCATTTTCTGCATTCATTGCATAATATGTATATATATACACACACACACACATTAAAACTAGCTTTGGAAAACACAAACATGATGCTAATAAAGCATGTGGTATAGGCATGTGGTGTATAGTTTTACATTATGCTTAAAAAACAGATTCCTGCATAAATTTGAGGACTGAGATAGGTTGGAATTAATGTGTGTAAAATGTTTTTAATATATTTTAATTATATAAAGTAGTTTAAACTAATGTGGATAACATGCATTTGGTATACATTACTTACATAAGTAGGCTGTGTGTGGCTTGGGGGTGAGTGTACTTGGACTGTGAATCCATGGCTTATGTCCCATTGCTGCAAAAATGTGCTTTTGCACTTTGGGACTGTGGTGCCTGTATGATTGATGGTAAAATCCCTCTACTTGGTTATACAAGAGCAGCCAAAGGGTTTGCAGTGATGACTGTTGACTTCTTTCCCTCTGCTCTATCAGGTCTGTCAGCTCAATGCACAAATAGCCCTTTGTGTACCTTGCATGAAAACTCTAAAACAATCAATCACAAAAGTTTGTTTGGATTAATGTCATGGCATGTTTATTACACAGATCAGTTTGGGATAGATAAAAAGATCAAATATAGATTTGTCAGGTTTTAATGAACTATTTCCAAAGATGTTTTGTATTGAATTTAGTAGATAAGTAAATTGTCACCACTTATTTCAGTCAGTCACCAGGATTGCGACAGTTGGTTTCTCTCTATGTGGGCCGTTGTCATGGGCTGTGGAAGTCTCCAGAAGTAATGGAGTGGCTGGAAAGGAATGTAAATGAAGTGATACATCGAGTTGACAGTAAAGACCCATTTGTTAAGGATTGCAAAGAGAAGTGAGTTTTTTTTTTTATCTTTCAGTGATTTAAACAATGGAATAGTATACAAATATAAAAAAAAGATAAAAAAATCAACCACTTTTTTAAATGTAGCCCTATTGTGAATAGGACTTGACCATACAGCACAAGAGTTCAGAACATTAAACGTGGATGTTTGTACTTCAGGAAAGTTACAACTTTAATACCACATCTGTGTTGTTACTTTTTCTTGGAAAATGTTTAGGAGAATATAATGTAATTCTTACCCAATGTAAATAAGTGAAACACTAATTTTGTTGTGAAAAAAATAGCTGTTGCTAAGACCAATGTGAAAAATAATGAGTTAAAAAAAAAGCAAAATATCGAATATAGCTATTAACTTACTGCACCTTAGTCTAGGATCTAAAGTTCAGTGATTATACAATTAGCTGCAATTTATGTAAATAAGTCTGATGTTGTGTGTAGATAATAAATGCTCATATTAATTGTAGTTCTGAGCATTGAAGTATAAATCTGTTAGGTATAACTGTAAACAGAATGGATTTAATTGAATGTAATGAATATACATAGTTTAGTTTATAAAGAGAATTAACGTAAAACTTGTTGTAGTGGAAAAATGTAGTAAAGTGCTCATAATCATTTTCTGTATAAGATGTAAAGATATATCTTGGCCAATCACTAACTATGAGTATTGGAGTAAAAAACTTAAAGTGGAATTTTGTTGGTCTTAATATAGTGATATATGGCACGTGTACAATCCAGAACTGTACTTGAAATTATAAGTGAATATACAAAGTTCTGTAATGTTAAGGACAGTGTTGCATAAAGTAGTGATGCTTTATATCTTGAATTCAATTTGTGGACCATTAGGAGATCTGTTCGCTACCAGGGAACCCCACGGAATGTCCTAAGACACATCATTCTGTCAGGGATCAAAGAAGCTACTGTCACTTTACCACAGGTGGGCCTGCTATTACAAATTAATAATTTATAACTTTTTGTGAAAGAAATTTTGTTCAGTGTTTTAAAATATCATTATCATAGATTTATAGTCTGTAGTCGCAACTTTAGTGAGAAGTTCAGAAACCTAATGAGCAGTATCAACTTTAGCAACCAGTTGACGACATGTCTTCCTACTAGCTCTTATTACATCTCCCATAAATTAATACCATTGCTTGCTTACAAATATTACTATCTGCCTTCTTAGACAAAACATTTAAGAAATATACTCTATATCTGTGTTTCTTAACCTGTGGTCCCATGGACCCCTAGAGGTCTATGTACATTTTAAAGGGGGGTCTGAAATGGTAAAGCTTGAGTTTTCATATTATGTTTTAAAATGATGAAAATCATTTTTTATTTGAAAGCTTCATTAACATACTTATGGCAATTTTTATACACAATAGGATCAGTTTCTGCAATTAAACCTATCTGAATATAAGAGTCTGCATGATTATCTTGGTTTGTAAAGGATTTTATCAGGAAAAAAAAATAAGGTTTAGGACTACTGCTCTAATTGTTTCTTTCTTTTTTCATAATTCACATGTTTGCTAAAGGCAATGATATAGTTTCTTTTCAATTTTGAAACTACAAATCAAAAATTGCATTAACTTTTTTTTTTATGTTGTAGCTGGAATCTTCATTGGTCACTACATAATGGTTTTAGCAAGTTGCATTTACATTTCAACATTTTCAAAGTATAATTTTTATTTTATTTTATTAGGAACTAACCCAGACACCAATCTTTGGGTTTGATCCCTTGCCTCCAAAAGATGCAATCACCAATTACTCAAGACCACCCAGGTAAATATATTTATTGTGTGAAATGCATACAGTTGTTATTTCAGTAGTATTTGGAGTGGATGCACATTTTTTTCTGGCTTAGATGTTGTTTCATTAGTAATTAACAGAGTTATTTAGTGCATGTGTAGATATTTATTGTCCAATAATGTTTCGTATATTAGTGTTGAGTTGTAGTATTTAAAATATCTTGGTATTATGCCAGTAGTGATGAACAGGAGTTTAGAGTATTGTATAGGTGTTATTGTCTGATGATGTTTCAGGTATTAATGTTGAGTAGTTTTGTTTCAAATATCATCTTGGTATTATTTGAGTAGTAATGAACAGAAAATAACATTAGAAGAACCCCACACTTAAATCTTGTATAATAAATAACTAAACAGAGGTTACAGAAAAGTTAACAAATCTCAGAAAAGGAAACAATAATTATAACAATTTAACTAAAATTGTTCAACTTATCTTCAACTGAATTAAACAGATCAGTTCCTTTTCTTGGAAAAAGAGACTTAGTTTTAGTATTTTCACAAAAAGAACTCCTTTGGCAGATGTCACAGCATCATCAAAACCAATTCAATTAAAATGGAAGGATAAATTTGGGAACAAATTGTTTAGAAACAAAAATACTTTTGTTGTGAGGATGAATTTATTTATTTTCTGCAAGTTTTAAGACATGGAGTTTTATCAAGCATGGTAGAAGGTTCATATGATAAATTAAAGAAGGTTAGAGAATAAGGCAAGGTTCTTGAAGCCTAATTTGACAAAAGAAGAAATCATTGCTTTGAAAAGAAAAGGTAAAAAATTCATTAATGGTAATGCAGTGGTTGTGATGAATTATTATGATTATCAAAATAAGATGGATTAATTTCTAGGTGATCAGTATTAACTACTTTTAAGGAACAACTTTATTAAAGGTAGGGTAAAAGAAATTAAACAGTTTCTGTTGGATTTAAAATCAATTAAATGATTTGCTTTATTATTTCATAAAGTCAAACAATACTAAGACACCTTAGATTTATGTGATGCATTACCACATTAATTTTTATTGGTAGTAGATATAATATACATATTATATACAACTATAATATGTATACATAAATGTAATTATTGTGTGGAATAAAATTAAATGTAGAATACCAGAGTTTGAAAAAGCAAATAGCACTTGGAAGAATTCTGATAGAAATCTTGGAAATTGTCCAAGTGGCAATGGAAATTAAAATTTATAATGAAACCAATGATAAATGAAATAGATAATATATTCACAAACATTAGAAACAATTTTAAGTAAATGCCGAATATGTTAAGAGTAATATTATAAGTTTAAAACATTTATCAACATTCATAACTTAAATAGAAAGTATGGTGTAAATGTAGGATGATTGCATGTAAAAATTGCCCTAACAACAAGCTTTCTTTTTAATTGTAAGTCATTCACAATCTTTTGTTAAAAGTAAATACTATATGTTCAGACTAGTTTTAAGTGTCATAAAACATATTGTATTAAGTTATATTAAACTGCAGTTTGCTTCTTTTAATCAAATGTTTTGTATGCATATTTATAATCATTAGTAAACTGTCAACTAAAATGTAGCTATTTTCTAGATGTTCTGTAATGGGAAATCACCATCATTTGTTGCCATTAGTTGTTCAGGTTCTCCAGTAAAACTTATATTTTACTTCTTAGTCTTTTCTTGTGCTAATGAACCACATCATACCTCTTGTTACCTAATCTAGATCTCAGCCTACTGATGATCATGGGGTTTTGAGTATGTTCTTCCGCTCCCTCTTACCAAACTATAACTTGGTAAGTTCAAAACTTTTATGGTTGGTCACAATTTTGCTCCATCTTTCTAGATAGATGTTTTAATGTACATCAAACTAAAAAATTTTGTTAAAATAATTTAATTTTCAAAGCATACTGAGACAATTGTGACAAGCCAATATTTTTATACATACTGGTATTTTATGTGTATCTAGCACTATCCTACAGTAGGGTTATAATTATAAAAGTGTATATGCATATGTAGAATATATGTAAAAAATCAGTTCTTTTTTTTTTTTTCATATGGTAATGATAGTGAAAAATGACAAAATGACCCTGTCATTCTTTTTTTTTGTCAGTTGCCAGAAGGTGGTGCTCATGATGAAAGGAACATTGCTGGTAATCAAGAGGAAGCTGCTGAAGGAGAGCGTCGAGGAACTGATACGAATGACTTAAGACGTAGCGTGACATCACTTCTTGATGCCATGAGAGATCTACTTAGTAACATCCATCTAGCTGATGTTCCAAATGAAGGAGATGTAGAGAGTGATGATGAACCAGATGAATGATAATAGAATGATGTAGTTAACCAATCGTGGTTCATGTTGTACATGCATTATGTGGCCTGTATGTGAGTTAACCAAAGGTGGGAAACTTAGATGTGAAATGTTTTACTGTATGCCCTTCTAGCTTGTTTTATGTTTGTGTCTTAGTTACAGAGACCAGTGTTTGTGCTAAACAAAATCCATAAATACAAAATGAAGGTCATAATTAAGATAAGTGCATGTGAGAATAATCTAATTGAGCTTGATAAAATTATTGATTTTCAAGATGCTTAGTGGTCCAATTTATTGTGAATTGTTTTTTTTCTCGCATAACTGAAGAATGAAACCATTTTTGTTTGTCCAGTGAGAAATATCAAAGTAAATATTTTATTCTGTAAGTGTCTTCAGTATATTAAGAAGCTTTACTCTGGTATTACTGCTTTTTTGAGGTAGAAAAAACAGCTTGTGATCTTTTAAGATGTACTTGGCGTGAAGCACAGTCGTCGATCATTTAGGTTTTTACCAAAAAAACTACTGCTAATAGGTTAGTATGTACTACTGTTTGGTTAGCTTGTACAAATGAAAGCAGTCGTTGATAATTTAGTTTACACTATTAAAAGCAACAATGGTTGGTGGTTTGTTTTTATATTGATGAAAACTACTTGTTGATGGCTAGTTTGTACTGATGAATTCAAGAACTGTTGGGTGATATATTTTTTCTTGATGAAAGCAGTTGTTGATGGTTTATTTTGTAGTAATGAAAGCACCACCTGTTGATCATTAACTTTGTACCAATGAAGGAAGTTGTTGAAGGTTGGTTTTGTAGTAACATAGTAGTCATAGTCAGTAATACATAGGGATTATTTAAAGTTGATGTCAAACAGCTCTAAATGTTATGGAAATTCCAGTGGATGTTATTTCAAGTTAATCTTCTGCTAAGTAAAACTTCTTCCCTTGTCAACTCCAAAATTATTTTTCTTCATCATATAAATCACTTTTGTTCAAGCAGAATTATAACACTATAACTTGTTAGATTCTGAAATTGTTAGTTTATGAGCACTTTTTGGTTTTTGAGTATTATTTGAATTATACAGGAAACAGATGAATTAATTACACAGTTTACTAAATATATCTACAAGACACACGTCCTAACTGAAGAAAACATCATTGTAATCATATTTTGGTGGTTGTATGTCAGTTAATGTGAATTGTAGGAATTAATTTGAAAAGCTGCTATTTGTGGCAAGGAGGTCATATTAATAATAGTGTGATATACAAAATATTTAGTGCAGAATGATCCCCATCTCTTCTTGCTGCTCCTTACTAATATATCTGTGTTCAGTGGAGTAAATTTTAAGTTATTTTTATTTTGAGCATTGTTTTGAAGGAAATGTTTTTCAAGTAATTTTTTTTTGCTTAAAATATTAATGCAGTATGTGATGTGTTTACAATAAGTAACCACTATTTTACCTACTGGCTTTAGTTATTAACCACATTCTGCAAGGAAGTCTAATTGTTGTAGATAACACCAATTATTCTACTGCATGACAGTGTTCAGACTACTGCTAATATCCTACTAATAGTCTGTCTCAAAGCACCTTTGATGATAATGCTCGCGTTCATAGCTCACTTAATTCACAGAAGTAACATTACTAATACAAACTAACAAGTCTCACTAACACTGGATGATCTTCATTCTATGATGTTAATTGTAGGTCAAAGGCAACAATTTGGTCATATAGAAAACTTGAACTATAGTTATCAAGTTTTATATACTTGTACACATAAGATATAATTTTAAAAAATCTCTGAACTTGAGCCAGAAGGAAAACAGATGAAAAGACAGGACTGACTATACTCAATTCATTGCATTCATTTAACTCAGGTGAAGGTTTATTATCTATCATATTCATTAATGTTGGCAAAGGCGGGAATGGGTCTTAACTATCTCGGCAACATTTAATAGGGAAAAATATACGTTGACGAAAATGCTAGAATATCTTGAAAACTAAAGCTTGCAAGATGTCATTGTTAGTTAACTGAGACTCTTAGAAAAAAAATGTGGCAAAACTTTTCTCACTTATCCAATATAAAACAATATGTTAAATTTAAACTATTGAGAAACATGGAACAGAGTTCTTTATTGTATGGTGTAGTTTTACAGCCCTTAAACCTAATGGTTAAACCTTTTCAAGAAAAAATTCTTAGAACTAAGCTTTGTATTACTAGAGAAAAACAAAGGCATGACTTCAGATGACTGAAGTAAGTTGCTCTAGTCGGTTTTGCTGTAAGACATTATTTCTTTCTCACCCAGAATATGTTACTGAGATTGAATGATGTGTCTGTTTTCTTGGTGTTAATATTTATGCTGTTATAAAACTGTATTCATTATTAATTTTGAACTGTTATGCTTTTCCGTGGCTGAATATTGTAATGAAAATATCTGTTATTAACACTATTTTTGTTAAGTATTGTAGTAACTGGATTTGTCTATAGCTGTTGCTTTTAGACAGTGTGAAAATCATTGTTTTTCTAATTGGACACAGTCAAGTCAGACATGTTTGACATGCATGTATACATTGTGATTAAAAGGGCTGATGTGGAAGACTATATTGCATACTTGAAATATTTATTGATGTATCTGTGATGGATGCTAATCAGAAATAGAAGATATGATCTTGCATATCTTGGGTAATTGGCCTACTAATAATAATGGACACTGACCATTTACTGGATGTTTGTAATATACTTAGGACCACCACCACCGGTATTGATGAAGCAGTAAATGGTATACTAGATTGAGAAATTAAAGCAAAACTGAAAATGGAATTTCTAAATGATAAAATGAAGGTAGTAAAAGGATGGATATTGAATGTGTTTAAAATTTTGTTTTAAGTGCATGATTTCTTAATAGTGTGGTGTATTTATGAACCAGTGAAACTTTTGTCTTAAAACATCAGTTCTTTTTGTATATGTATATATATATCTTGTGTATTTTGTGTGGGCAAAATGCTTTGATGTGTTTTATACATGGTAGAACGTATGAGTCTATTGTTGAAGGTTTAACTCTTATATTGCCATGAAATTAAACCCTTCAAATTATTTCTGATTTACAGTCTAGTTGGCAAGTTTAATATATATAATACAATTAAACATTTTCAATGGTACAGAGAACATTTATGATGATAATAAAATGACCAGAAATTGGCAAATGTTTTACCAGCAAGTTTGAGATGTTATTTAGTTGAAAAGTTTTAATTTTAAATCAACACTTGCGAGTAGTAGTAGTAGTAGTATAGAGCAGAGGTTCCCAAACTGAGGACCATAGGAAAGTGTTCAGGTGGGGGATAGCAAATACACAATACTGTTAAAGTATGTAGTATCTATAGATTTATTAGGTGGAGGTCCTCAGTCAGGATGTATATTGTTCTAGGGGGCCTCGTGCTGAAACACTATGGGTACCACTGGTACAGAGAATCATGTATGGAGGAGGGGGACAACCATAAACTAAGTCAAGTATTACAACAGTTGTGAAAATAGTAGTACAGTGCATCATGTCTTGAGAGGGGATGATCTTTAAGTACATAGTTGAGGTAATAACATTTTCATACTTCAACTCACTAAAGTGAATTTCATTATATTTTTAACATGAATAAAATAAACATTAATATATAAAGGCTTTAAGCAATCCAAGCAATAATTAAGCATGTATACCTTTTGTCACCAAGTGTCATGAACTGTTTGTAACCAATGAATCATATCCATAATATCCACAGAATTAATCAAGATAAATTGTGTGTGTTTGTTTATTCCTGTACTTTCTGACTGATTATATACAACTAATAGTAATAAGTTTGTTTTCCAACTGGCTTTCTTTGTAAAGACATCAGCAAGATACGTAAAAATATTCTGCAGCAAAATAAGCTAAACAAATAACAACTGTACCCCTCTCTTTCTGTTCAAGCCTTTGTTCTATCCCTTAAGTTTTTTAGATTGAGTTATGTCTTCATCTACTGGCCCAGTTTCTTCAGCAAATTCTTCATATGAAGACTTTTCTTTAAGTAGCCTAGGCCTGGGATTCTCAAACTGTGGTATGCGTACCACCAGTGGTACGTGGAGTTAACGTCTGTGATACACGACAAAATTAATAAAAACATCAAATTTGTAATAAGCCCTACCCAAGCTTTCCACGGGACTATACTTACTACTCTCCTCACTTATATACTCACTCTCTACCTGCATAGACTCGCCAGTCTTTTCTTCCCTTCTAATTGACAACAATGGTACCACAAATTCTTCAACCGTGCCAGAAAAAACAATTACATCCTTCGCTTTAATGGGTAAATGTTACAAGTATGAATTTTTGTTACCACATGTTTTATCTTTTTTTAAATTAGTCCTAGGTTTGCAATTTTAAAAAATTAAACAAAAAGTGGTACATGAGTCTGAAACGTTTTGGAACCACTGACCTAGTCCCAAACATTTCTGTCATGTATTCTCAATTCAAAATTTATTTTTCAAGCAATATTAGTACCATCTGAAGGTAGAATATGTTTACGTTTGCTCTGATACTTTTCCTTGTAAGGATACTGCCTTTAAAAATAAGTAGCTTATTAGTTAAAGGTAAACTAGCAGCAAGCACCATATTTTATCATTTATAAGAAGCTTGGAATTTTGATGATTCAAGCTGCCTTTTAACCAAGTTTTGTATATATTAGTTCAATAAATTATAGACAATTTACTAAAACTTAGCAGCAGCAACAAAAGTCTGGTTAATACTGATTTAAAATTAATATCGAAACAAATGCCCCCCAGTGGTACAGCGGTATGTCTGTGGCCTTACAACGCTAGAAACCTGATTCCAATACCCAGATAGCCCATTGTGTAGTTTTGTGTTTAACTTTAAACAAACCATCAAAACAAAGTAATTAATCCTGCTCTAAGTGGACATTATCAGTGAAAAATGGCTAGATATTCTAATATAATATTGTTAATTGAGCTTTTCCAGAGAAGAGAATAACTGACCACTCCATGGACTACTGATACTTTGGTAAAAATAATCAAAACTTTCATTGGTTAAAACTCAATTTAACATTTTGGTGTGTTGTGTTAACTTTATATAAAAAATAATAATTAACTAAGCCATAAATTCTAGATTTATAATAATAAAGTTCATAACTTAGAAATATATAATGTGTGAATATTAGACTAAACGATTTCAATGAAACTGGAGGTTAGTTTAGGATTATTATTGCTACCTTCTTCACATGCGATTTTTGTTTTGTCAGCAACTCTACAGCATAGTCATAAGCTTTCCGAACAAAGTTCTCATTTCTTGGTCAATCACTGTTTCTTTGCTGTAGGATTTGTCAAAGACCACCAAACTGATCTAAATCAAAAGACTGGTTTCACACCTTCTCACTCATGCTGGCCTGAACAATTTGAAATATAAAAAATATACGAAAAATAAAAAGACAACTACCATAAAAATGAAAAGGAATCTGTCAAATAAATGCACACTTGCATAACAGTGAATATATTAACTGCAGAAAATCATGGAAAATGTTGACAATCTTGTTGCTGGCGTGTCAGATCTAGGTAACGGCTGTTGTGGAAATAAGAGTATTTTAGGAGATATTGGAGGAGTTAATTGATTCGTTAATTTTCTGACTACTTGTCGAACCACGTAATACTTAAAGATGAATTTTTCTAGCCTTTAACGCAATAATTTTAGTTATACTTATTCACATCAAAAGTTTCACATTTAAATAATAATTTGGCCCTCTAGCGCCGAAGTTCAGAACTATATCACGGTGCTAAACAATTCACAATGCTTCAATGGGAGTCGACGAGAGTTTTAAACTTATATCATCATTAATGAATTCAGAGCTTAAAATGATACGAAACTGAACTAAGTAATTGTTTCATGGTACCTTGCAGAAGCTACAGACCCCCCTAGGCACAGTGACGGCTAAAATGTTGGGGGGGGAGGGGTTGTGGATTTTTTATGAAGTCCCGTGTATATCTTCTATGTAAATGACCCAACCACATAAAAGAGTGACAACCAATGCAAACAAGAAGCTGGAAAAGTGAAGGAAAATCTCTTGAGAAAAGAGACATGGATACTGTATTCTCAAGGAGTGTTCGTATGTTAACAAACTTAAGCCTATACTTTGGAATGAGCGCAACAAATAAAAAAAAAACAAGAAGTGCAATATTTATAATTGAGATTTCTCTAGGCTGAGCTGCACAGAAATGAGAATTGGAACATGTTTTTTATTTTTTCTTCGTGAATTACAAAAAGTCAACTGTAAACTATTATTGAGTTGAAAGTTGTTGAAATGGAGTTAGAATTATTATTATGGTATAACTGATATCCTAAGCTACATTGATTTTCCTTAGAGTAAATGGGTAGATCCCGCAAAACTGGAGATCCGATAAATACTTTATTATACAGTATGGCTCTACTCCTCCTGACTACAACTGAGTTTGTTACAATGAAGGGGATGGTACACAAATATACAGAAAGATAAAGTGTAAGAGAACCTTTATTAGAGTTCTCACTCTCAGCAGTTCAGTATGAGGCTACTGTGCAGAAAAGAAAAGCTGAAAGTTAAAAACAAAACTGTCAAGGTTTTATGTATATGTGGTCTGGGATTCTTCTACAGTAGGTGTCTGTGACTTGGCGATAAATTCGAACAATAAACGGCCAGCACCCAATCCACTTGTTGTAAAATGATATATTCAAAACAAGTCAAACATATGTACAAAAATTCTTTACAATATAGGACATCACAGTTGTATCTAAAACTTTAAATAATTCTCTTTTACTTCAAAAATCCACACAGGCTGATTCAATTACTTTAGAATCCAATTGACAAGATGAATTATCTTCTCTATTCTTTTCACAATAGTATCAGTGAATAATTCACTTACGTTACCCCGTGGGTTATCACAGTTGTATACATAGTTTTAAATAATTCTCTTTTTACATCAAAGGTCCACACAGGCTGATTCAGCTACTTTAGAATCCAATTGACAAAACTAATTATTTTTCTCTACTCTGTTTCTTACTATACAATCTGCAATAAATTCACTTACGTTACATCGTGAGTTACAGTTGTATCTTGAACTTTAAATAATTGTCTCTGTTCATTTGTTAATTTCCCGTAAAAATTCTTCCCGAGGAACTTCAGCGATACAAATTCGTTCTTAAATAAAACTAGTTTATTCTTTCTCTTTGCAATACACTTATTTTCCACGCTATAATTCACACACTTTACTTACGGCTTGACTCGATTATCTGTCTCTATCTCCCTGTCTGTTATTCAATTATCTATAAATCAATCACATCGTTAAACTACGTAATCTGAATATAAAAATCATCAAAAGGAGAAACGAATATTTCCTTCCTCAGACAGTGCCGCTCTGAAAAGCTAATTCCTAAATTTGTGAAGGTCAAGTTATCGAAAAACTTAAACCAGTTTTCAGGTTTGTACATTTGCTGTTATGTTAAACTTATATTAAAGTTTTTCTTCATTACCCATTCAAGCCATCTCCAACCATTATTACTCTCAAAGTGGGTTCATCGTCATCGAATTTGAATTCATCACGGCGATTAATCGAGGTTGTGTAAGTCTAAACGTTTATCTTTGTTATTCCCTGTACAACTTTTTAAGTATGTTCTCTCACCAATCCACTGCCATAAACCAATCGTACCGTGAAACTATCGTTAAACTACGTAACCTGAATATAAAAAATCATCAAAAGGAGAAACAATATTTCCTTCCTCAGACAGTGCCGCTCTGAAAAGCTAATTCCTAAATTTGTGACGGTCAAGTTATCGAAAAACTTAAACCAGTTTTCAAGTTTGTACATTTGCTGTTATGTTAAACTTATATTACAGTTTTTCTTCATTACCTATTTAAGCCATCTCCAACCATTATTAATTATCTATTTATGTCGTCACTTCTCGCCGGTCTTATATATACGAAATAGAGGCCATCTCGAGCCTTCAGGAAACTTCTAGATACTCATTACGTGTTACCAACGTCGTAACAGTAGCAATCAAAAGTGACACCTACAGACAACTCAAAAACGTTTCTGTTGTTGGATTTGGCAGTCGTGCGCACTACAGTCCACGAAATATTATTTTATTTGAATACAAAACATCACGCACTAAAATGAAAACTTATTAAAATAATTTTTGTTGTAATATATTATAAAATAAATTTGGCGACGAGGCCGAACGTCTGCATATTCAAATTCGATGACGAGGAACCCACTTTGAGACTAATAATGGTTGGAGACGGCTTGAATGGGTAATGAAGAGACTTTAATACTGTACATTTGCTGTTATGTTAAACTTATATTATTAAAGTTTTTCTTCATTACCCATTCAAGCCGTCTCCAACCATTATTATTCTGCATATTCCCCCCGATATGCCTATATTAAAGATGTATCTAATAACAGCAAAAGGCCAAAAACGACATAAGAAAACAAAGCAGAAAAAAAAAATGTTATAACGTAATTTAGTGGTTACTATTTCCACCCCCTAAACCTGTCTAATCAGCTGAACATAGTGTTCCAACAGAAAACGTAAGTTTTTCGTGCCACGCTTATATGTTCCTTTCTACATCTTCGTTTATTTAAAGTTAAGAAATAAATTGCATTCCGCATAATACTTTCGTTAACTGATACACTTACAAGTTTTGCTATTTTCTTCTACAATAAATCTGGACACAAGGTGCGAGAAAAATAATTCAACTACGTTAGTTTGAATTATTACAAGTATGAAAGTATTCAGGACGTAATATTTGTTAAAAATAAAAATACATTCGTGATAAAAATTTCATTCCCACATATACATAATTTGTCGTATGCCAAGTTATAACTTCCGAATTTTTGTATTCTCCTATTAAAATCTAATACAATTTGCTTTTTAATTTCTTTGGATTTCAAATTCATTTCCTCTTACATACTAAAACCTCATTGTTTTATCATTAATCACTATCCAGACCAGAGAACTGACACATCGTTGATTATGAGATAACTACAGAATAGAATCTTATTATTTTTGGTAGTATATTATACAAATTCTTCCAAATCTTAAAAGTTTACTGATAACCTTTAGTTCGCTTTTATCATACCAGGTAAATACTATTTCTTTTGTTTATCAATTAAGTGTTCCCAAATCCTGAGGTAAATGTTTAAACTCTGCCAGATTTTATAAATTTGAAAAATACCAAACTATCTTAAATACTTAATGGTTCTACATAGGATTTACTTAAATTTCTTTAGGTCAGACAGTATTGTAGAATTTTTGAAATGCTTATTATATACCAACAACGTGTTTAATTAGTTATAGAACTTGAAGTAGAATTTGGTTTTGATTAGTTTCGTTTGTTTTTTTTGAAAAAGTACCTAAAACCAATCCAAAAATAATAGAAAGATGTATAACAAGTTTTGAAACCATGAAGAACAAATGTAATGTTCTGTCTTGGTGTTGAAGGGAGAAGAAGAAAACAAATCCATATATTGCTTTTATATTCTTTTATTGTTTTCAACATGTACAAGAGTGGAGAACATGGGTTATTTACAGAAAATTCATGGCAGTTGGGATATTGCTTAAACCCTTTAAGTGAAAGGCCTTATTTCATTATAGCCACAAATTAAATTATAATAATCATATGTAGCCATCTCATCCCCACTGCATTAGTAACCACCAACATACTTGAATGACAAAGTAACAAGAAACAGGTCTCCACCTTTCCAGTACTAAACACTAACATTCTGAATTCACAAGATAACTTACTACACACCCCCTCCCCTCTGCATCAGAGTAAAATATATAAATGTCACAAGTTTATGGGTATTCTAAGTAAATAATCAAGGCAATCTATACATTAATAACCTATCAATATAGAAAAAAAAGTAACGAACAAAGGTTGCAGGCTAATCAATAAGAAAAAGAATATATTTATTACACATAGAAAACATGTTTACAAATAGCAAAAGTTACACACAATTGTGGGTGAAACTCATTTTCTATTTATTAAATTTAAACTAATTAAACTAGAGTACAGTATGAGCTAGAATAACACTTGGGAACTTCTATATCCAAGACTTTTTCAAATAAAACATATCTTTACAATAATAATAATAATAATACATTGTATGAATATACAAAAAATCTAACTCCACAAGCAGAGAGAGAGAGAAGAATCTTCCTTCAAAATATTTTTTTTTTTTTAACTCCTCCTCTACTTCTAGCTAAAATGGTCATTATTATCACTTAAAAGCTTTGTATGCAAAAATGAAATCGAATTAATTATGTGAACAATGATTTTTTGTGGGAGAACCAATTGTTAATATTTGAACTTGCATGTAACAAAAATATTTTTTATTCATTGTAATAACATACAGCAGTTACTGGTTTCTTAGCTTCCAAAAACCCAAATTTGTTTATAAGTTTTTAGTTTGATCAAAATAAACATACTACAAAAACATCTGTCAAATTCTAGCCACCACTTACAAGATTAAAAACTTAAACTAAACTGACATTTCCTTTGACTTTAATGTTCAGGTGTCCAAGGTTGCAAGTAGTTGAAGTTGAAAACAAGCAACTTGGCATTTGAAAGGCAACAGTGGGCACTCCTACTAATTGCTTATTCAGGCACCCTGTTCAGCAGAGTGAAGAGCCAAGGCATATACCTTTGCCAAAACAGAAAAATTTACAAAGGAAAAAAAAAAAAACCAAAAAAAACAAAAAAAACTCTTCACAATTTAAAACAGTGCCAGAGAAGAAGTGATTTTGTGGCAGGCCAATACTTCAAATTCTGGATTACAGAAGTCTTACCAAGTGGCTTCAAGAGTTTAAACCGCATTCACTTCTTTAGTGGGAGTGCTGCTTAGTTGGGATCTGAAGCCACCTAGGAAAAAATAAAATTTTCTGCATTTATTCAAAATAAGTTACTTTGAAGTTTCCTTGCACAATGATGAAAAAAAATTAACCAGGTGTACACAATCACAAATTCTCAAGTAGTTGTGGATTATTTTCCCAAACAAAAAATGTAGCAATATTAAGAATAAAACAGACTTACATCATAACATACCTCCTCGACCTTCTCCCCTATTACTTCTCATCACACCTCTACCTCGATAACCTCTAAAACCACCACGACCACCTCGCCAGGGGTAACGGCGAGATAAGTTAGCCGAATTTCCAAAAGTTTCCACATTCAGTTTTCTTTCACGTCGCCAATCCACACGTCGCAAGTTTCTAGAAATAAACATTGCTTGAGACAGATGTGAACGGCAGTACTTTAATTAATGAAAGTATATGTGAAAAATCTGTTGTTTTATTATTCTAACATTTCTTTGAAATACTGTTATTTATAAAAAGGATTTGAATGCATTTTAAAAAAGCAGTTTTTATTACTTTGAAATTAATTTTTAGAATCATATTTTTACCTCATTTATGCTTTTTTTGGGGGGGGGGGAAGGTTTAATGAAACATTAGTGTTTGTTCTACCAACTTTAATGCATTAAATGACAGAGTAAAAGTATGAATATGAATGCACGATTACTCTTACCCCTTGCTTCTTTCCAAGGCCTCACAACTAATGTTATCAAAAAAAGACTTGCTCCTATCATAATAAACGACATCATCCTCATCTTGTACATCACCAGCTTGCGTTTCATTTCCAGAATCGTCCTTCTTATCATCTGCCAAGCAAGAAGAGTAGTTAAGTTGAGGTAACAGCTGAAAATCAATTCCATCAAAAGGTGGGGAGATACATTAAAAAAAAAAGTATACTACAGTAATATGGTTATAAATTATTGAAAATCCAATATAAACAAAATAAAATACAAAAATTATGCTAATGGTAACTTTGAAATACTATCTATTTTTAGTTTATTCATAACTAATACAAAATCCCCAACATGCTATTTAAGACTAGTAAGTACACCTGTAGAGTGATTTTCACACTTGACACAATACCCGACCCCACAATCTGTAGATTTAATGCTGTTTCATTGGGGGACAATTAAAAAAGAAAGTTAGATGTTGATACCACTTAAAATTTTCTAATGGAAGAAAAAGAATAGACCAAATACAAAAGTATAAAAAATTATAAACAAGATCGGGTTACCTATCTTTGTTCTAGCCAATTTGTTCTCAAGTTCTTGAAACTCTGCATTTGCTTGTTCAAAATCATATTCTCCTTCAAACTGTAGCACATCCCTTCTATTGGCTGGGTTTTGGCGGAATCTAGGACCTCTGGGTCGACGTTGAAACCCTAAAACAGAAGAAAAATTTCCATTGATTTATGTCATCTTTGTTTAGCATACATTACACACCATACTGTCACAGTTTAATAAAATGAAATTGTTCGCAGAAAGATTCCAACTGAAACTTGATATTTGTTATAAATATGCATCATTACAATAAATTGTTTAGCTATTTTAACAATATCCATCACATTGCCTCCAAATGTTTATAACTGTTTCCAAAATAAGTGCTTACAAAAGAAAAACTTGTTAAAATTAATTCCTAATAAGAGAACCTAATATTACATCTTGATTATTTTTAATAATCTAATCAGAAAGTTTATGGCAGGTTCATGTAGTAGTGTGCCAGCTAAATTAACAGTTAGTTAGAACATATAGAAAAATCAAGCTTGTAATGCCATCTAACAAAATAATGAAATGACAACTTATATCCCCAATAATAGTAAATTACCAAAACTATTAATTAGCATAATGAAGTAGTTATATTTTGGGGGAAACACTGCATGTTTTGATATACCGTCCAATGTTCTGTTGAAATACACGTTCCCCAAAATAAAACCATTTTATCATGTTTATAAATTGTTATTTTATTGTTATATTAGCAATGTACTTCCATACACAAGTATTTGTATCCCCAGTATCATTTGGAGTTTTAATGGACATGGTCTATTACCTTCGTAGTTAAGTTTGATATAAATTTACCTTTGTACAATTACTATCTCTGACCTTGAAGGACACTGACTTTTTATGAACAAATTTGACCACTATGTAATCACTTCTGAAGTGATGTCCATCTTTACACAAATATAGTATGTTAAAACACATGCAAGTACACTATACAGCCAAACTGATAACAGTGGGTGCTTAGAATGAGCAAACATTAAAAGGTGTTCCCCTTTTTGAGTTGTTCAAGTGGAAACCATGGCACACAAACACGCTTTATTTTCTCATGTTGGCTATTCAGGCAATAGGTCTAAGATGTTACCTTGACATTTAATTTCTGAAAACTATATTCTTAGTATTATTAAAAACATTTTATTTGAACACTGTTAACCCCCTCCTCAAACAACTGTAAAGTAATAGTTACTTGAAAATTTAAATGAAAAAAAGAAAAAGATTTCTAACTGAAGTCCACAGTGAATGTTTCATTTTGTGTGTGTGTGTGTGTGTGTGTGTGTGTGTGTGTGT